CCCCCCTCTCCCCTTCCCCCCTTCCCACTCACTAAAATTAATTTTTTTAATCCCCTTTAAACAGAATTAGACAAACCGCCAAACGGGAATTTGGAAAAACAACTCGTAGCCAGGATTTTATCTTTTATACTTATTAATGTCGCAAATATGTAACTTTTAAGTACATAATGTGATGTTACGGTGGTGTGTTATAGACGCAGATACTATGAAACTTACGCTATTTTACTTTTTTTTAATGTATTTTTATTGATTTCAGAGAGGAAAGGGGAGAGAGCAACATCAGTGATGAGGGAGTCGTGGATAAGCTGCCTCCTGCACGCCCCCTGCTGGTGATGGAGCCCTCAACCCCAGCACGAGCCCTGACCCGGAATCAACCGTGATCGGGATCATAGGTCGATGTTCAACCCCTGGGCCTTGCCAGCAGCGCAGCTATCACTATTTTAAAAGCCAGATTAATCATACTTTAAGGAATATAATACTGAAGGCTGCAAAACTCTTCTCATATAACGACTCCATCCAAACCACTGCGCGAAGAGACTTCACCAAACTGTCCTATGGCTTCTAGCAGCAACTTAAGGGTCGTCCCTAGGAGGATCCCAGCGGCCCCACCTCCCCCACCCCACTTAGAATGCCTTCCAGGAGAATTTATTGCTTATTCCAGGCAAAACCTGGTGATTTGCAGACAGCCCAAGACCCCTTTCTTTAGAAAGTTTGTACTTTATAAATCCTTTATCTGCCCTTTATAATGTAAATATACCACCCAGAACTGTTTCCTCAAAGACCTGAGAGCCCCTTTCTTTGAAATGCAGGCCTTCTGGGGGACATCACTGTGCTAGCAACTCCCAGTCCCTGTGGAAGGATAAGGGCCTTTCTTCAATTTGCATCACTGCCTCCTGCCATAAAGATAGAAATTTATTTCTCCTTCAGTAAGTGCCCACTAAAGAGCCCAGATGGCTTTGTCACATAGATCATCCACTCACCCCCTTAACACTCCTCAGGACCTCTCAATGCCTTTTCCTTAGCACACTCCACCCTTTAAAATGTCTGCAGCCTTCCGTTTCAGGGAAGTCAAATTCAGTTCATGCAGTAGTATTACTGAATAAAATGTGTTTTATAGCTTTACCTAGCATACAGCTTTATCTTTGACAGTTCTTTTGGTAGTGAAGTATTATTATTAAAATACACTTTTTAAAAAATGCCTAGATTTGGCTTCCTCTGGTCAGATAGATTTTGCTCTCAATGTTGTCAACAGACCAACCTCTGCTTAAAATGGAAAAGTATTAGGTAGGTTCTGTTTAAAAGGTTCAGCCCATTTCACCCTGGCCAGTGTGGTTCAGTTGGTTGAGTGTCATCCCATGCACCAAAAGGTCTCTGGTTCAATTCCCAGTCATATTGACTGGTAGGGGTTGTCCCTCCCTCCCCATCCCTCTCTCTAAAATCAATAAAAACATATTTTTTAAAAACTAGATAAAAGGTTCAGCTCATTTTAAAGTCTGTTGGCAAGTTAGTCACTAGGGAGGAGAGAAATAAGGCAGTGAGTCACAAAACCTCTAATCAAAGAATGGGAAAAACAGAAAGGAGCTCTCATGGGAACTTTGAGCCCTGGTCTTCTAACTACATTCCTTCAGAGAGGTTGGAATGGACTTAGGTCTTACACAACTATGCAAACAAAACCAGCTCCATGGCACTGGGACTGCACCACTTATTGGCTCACACAGCAGGATCTCCCAGATTCCTCCCCTCAAGGACTGTATTCCCAGGTCTGCTAGAATTTACCTAGTGACTGTGCTGCAGTCCACTCTTGGGCAGAACTGAAATGCCACCTCAGATATTTACTTTTTTTTTAAATATATCTTTATTGATTTCCAAGAGAGGAAGGGAGAGGGAGGGAGGGAGGGAGTTGAAATATCAATGAGAGGGGCGTCATTGATTGGCAGCCTCCTGCACGCCCCCACAACCTGGGCATGTGCCCTGACTGGGAATCAAACTTCGATCTCCTGGATCCTAGGTCAATGCTCAACCTCTGAGCCACGTCCAGCCGGGCTTACTGATTTATATGACTGTCCATNCTGGATCCTAGGTCAATGCTCAACCTCTGAGCCACGTCCAGCCGGGCTTACTGATTTATTTGACTGTCCATTTACTTACATCCCAAATTAAATGGTGGCATGAGAGATTGAGGGGTGTTTTTTTTGTTTTGTTTTTTTAGAAACCACATCCCAACTTGTAAGGGCATCTTATAATGATGAGACAAGCAAAAGATGCTAAGAAATATTTTTAAATAGAAAAGCAGTATATGTGATAACTGGAATTGATAGGTATGCTAAAAATAAAAGTAAGAATTACAACTGTTTCCTCCTTTTTCCATGGTTTTTTTTTTATATATATTTTTATTGATTTCAGAGAGAGGAAAGGAGAGGGAGATAGAAACATCAATGATGAGAGAGTCATTGATCGGCTGCAGCCCGCAACCCGGGCATGTGCCCTGACCGGGAATCGAACCCTGATCGCCTGGATCCTAGGTGGATGCTCAACCGCTGAGCCACGCCCGGCCAGGCTCCATGTATTTTAATATACAACAAATATTTACTGGTTACTTACTATTTACCAAGCACTGCCCTAGGTTCCAGGAATACAGTTGTGAGCAAGATGGACAAGGTCCTGCTCTCATGAAGCTTACTTTCTAGGGGAGGGACAGACATCAACTATAAGTATACTAGTAATTGCAGATTAGAAGTGCTATGAAGGAAACAGACAACTTTCTGTGGAAAAGAGTAACTGAAGCAAGAGTGACTACTTTGGATCATAGGGGAGGAGTGTCAGAGAAGGCTTTTCTGAGGTCACATTTAAGCCCTACCTAAGGACATGAAGCTGCCAGCCACTGGAAAAGCTGGGGAAAAAGCATTCCAGGCAGAGAGGAATGTAAGTGCAAAATTTCTGAGGTAGGAAAGTGAGGTAGGAAAGAGCTTGGCCATAATCAAGGAATGGAAAGATCAGGGTGCTAAAGCATAGTAGAAAGCTGGGGAATCATGATCTGCGATGAAGCATGGCAGACACAACTCACAGCTTCCCAGTACCCACTTACCCATTCTTTTATGTCCTATGTAGAAACGCGTCCAGTTAAAAATGTATCTCCCTGTGCCCCCTGCAGCTGCAGGGGCCATATGACCCCTCTTGGCCATCCTGAGAAAAGTTGAAGCCTACTGTGTGGGTCTCTAGGAAGGCTATTATTTTCCTGGTGAAAAGAGACTGGCTCATTTGGTGGGAACTATTAACCTTTTGCCATTTCCCCTCCCTCCTTTATTCCTGCTTGAAATGAGATCACAATTCCTAGAGAAGGAGCCATAAAGACAAAAGCCACACATATGGATGGCAGAATAGAGTGCAAGATGGAGCCTGAGTATTTTAGGACTTCCTCAAGTACTGGTACCGATCCTGGATAGCCTGCTTCTGGGCTAATGGG